GCATGCACTTGCGCGTTCATCGACATTCAATTTATGTATACTCGTAGGGGAAAGTTTTACATTTATGTTTCGCAATGTGTAAAATACACATCTATATAGTCACAACATTTGACGACTAAAAAAATATTTTCTTAAAACGAATTCACGTTGATGAACGTTAAAGGTTATATCGATCGATGACAGCGACAAACTGATCTGATATAGCGTCGAGATGAAATACTCGAAAGGCAAGCGTCGATAGAGGGCCGGTAAAATACCTATAGGGCAGATCTGGCAGTACGATCGTAATTATTCGTAAAGAACGTTCGAAGATCGGTTGATCGACTATGCGAAATCATGGATGCCAGGTATGGTTAGGCGCCTGTCGATAGGCTACCGTGATCGGTGATTGGTCGCGCGGGTCGTGGCGATGATGCGTCGTCTGGTTTGGTAAGAAACAAGCTTGGTAATCATCAGCTTTCGGAACTCGGTTCGAGTGGGGAGCGTTGGAGTTTTCAGGCTACGAGACACGTCGGTGACGTCATCTCAGAGCTGGGTCAGCCATAACCTTGGACAATGCGTGAAACAAATTCTCGTATGTGTGATTTCTACTTCGAGAAAACCACACGTTTGTGCAACGTGATTTCCGTTATTTTTTTCTTTCCTTGTTTATTGAAATCAGTTGACCGTGAAGTACATTTGCTAGTAATTCGCGAATCTCGAACGCGTTTAGAATTTTCACCGGATAATTCAGAGACTAAATTTTATCGAAATACGTACGTATGTAAAAATATGTAGAAAGAAGGATGTTTAGTAATTTTTGTTGCGCGGAGAAGTTTACGTTGAAAGGTGACAGGCAAAACAGGCAGAAGCAATTCTCGGAATCGTTGGTGAAGGTAGAGAGCAGAGACTCGTAAAGTGAAAGAGCGTGGTTCTAAAATTAGTTCAGCGATAATCCTGATGTTATTATAGCGACTCGTTATTGCCTTATTTTTTATTGGCTAAACTTGCCGCGAAATCGGAACATGGTTGTTACCGAAGCTTTGGCCTTGACCGCGACCCAGGGTCTTCATCCTCGAGATATCGATTTGTTCTCTCTACTTCTAATTCTGTATCCACCTGTATATAGCCACGATATCGCTACTCTGTGAGTATTGTAATAATTCAGGGTCACCGCGATCGACTTGTTGCAAAATCGCGAGCATACCATATATATAAGTACGTCGCGACGCTTTTCTTTTATCGGAAATTTATCCGCAGGAAATAAACATTCGTCGTAACTCTAGAAAATAAGATGGTGTCCGGTTCCTTTCAATCGTCTTCGATCTCGTGCCGGAGTCTCGAGTTATCGGGAGAAGATTGCGTAATCTGGGAACATTTCCATTCAACGACAGAGTATCGTTTCGCAAAAAATTAGGCGTGATCTAGCCTTCGGCCAATCGGCCAAAATGTTTGTCGTTGAGTCGTTTATCAACGATTCGCACGAGCTGATGTGTCTCTTATCGCTCGATTCAAAGTACCATTAAGTACCACACGTAAAGGTAGTATGTAATATTTGCAATAGGTGCAGAATATCGAGAGCAAATAATGTAACACAAATGTTAAATACGTATGAATCGGAACCTAAATCAAACCGAATGGGATTTCATTCGAGTTTAGCGGTACTCGATAGCGGTAACGTGATTCTACGAAATTCCAATTAGTTCGTACGTGTCTTCCGTACGTACGTACCTACTTCCATATATACGTATATAAGTACGTTTCTGTAGAAGCGGAATGAACGACGAACATGTGACAATTTGTATAAAACGCGATGATCGATGTCATTTTTTCAATGTTGGCACAAATGAGACGATCTAATTTGCAACAAGGACTCGTGATCGAGGAGCACGACTTAAAATAAAGCGATCGCAACTGCAACCAACGACTTCTTTTTATTTGTCTCGCTTCTGCCACCTAGACTTTTTCTCGCTTACATAATCGGCTCGTTTAAAAAGAAGTTGGACTGGTCTTGTGCGTACTTGGAGAATTTTGATGCTCATATAGTGGCTTCGACTTCAAATCGGTAGCAACGACTCCATACTTATATATGTGTAAACTTCCGCCGTGTCAGAATTATATTTTATATTTGATTTTTTGCTTAAAAATGACCAGAGAGACGGTGTGAAAGGACATCGCTTTGTATCGGTTTTTGAATATGGTTAAACAATGAATGGCGATCGTTACGGAGACACGTTTGATCGTAATTAAGCCGAGTTATTGCGATAGAAATAAAATTACGACTAGCCGGTGCAATCGATATTCAGGTCATGGCTTCCTCTAAAAATGGATGCCCGATTAAAGGCTTCGTTTTCTTTTTCTCTTGCCTTTTCTTTTTTTCTTAGTTGCGTGCGTATGTATATATGCGAAAAGGCACGAAAACCTCTGTCAAACGGAATAATTAACGACCTTGATCCTCTGACGTGTTACACATGCGAATATCACTTACGCAGAATGAAGTAATATAGTCAACGATTTCGTGCAAATTTCAGGGTATGCGGGTTTTAAGTATTCAACGAGAAAATCATTGATTTTATCGAGCAGGATGATCACTAGAGACACCGCGGTTGCAAAGGAATTAAAAGCCTGTGAATTTTTACCCAGCTCGATTTAGTCCGGATTTATTGTTAGAATTCCACGTGCAGACTTGTCAGAAGCTGTGCGAAAACAGAAGGAAACGAGAGAACGAGCGGATCGACGTGCACGAGGGTATCCGAATACGAGGAAGCTGAAACCGAGCAAGATAGATAAAGAGAGCAGGAGTGTTGTCGCGAGGAAGAGAGCGAGAAGCTAACGTGACTTGGATAGAGAAAGGGAAACAGTGTGAGACAGAGAGAGGAAGAAAGAGAGGAGAGACTCAGACAGAGGGACTCAAGGTCGGCGAAGTCGGTTGTTTCCGTCGGAGTTCGGCGTCTAAAATTGTGTATTGGCTTGGCGCGGTTCTGCGGCCTTCGCGAACGTGGCCGCTTCTCCCACAGAAAAGTCAAGTTCAAGGCTAACCAGATATCGCGATACGTTCGTTTCTCTCTTTCTTTTTTCATTCCATGTTCTTTCCTTCCGTCTGCGTTTTGGTAACTGTTTAATCGAACGGATTATGGAGCGATTCGAAGAATGTGAGAAAATCGAGAATCACCGATGACTCGTAGGCTTTGTAGTTCGATAGAGTCGAATCGAGCTGACGCTTATGCAATCTCAATCTTTTTTCTTCTTTGTCTCTTTAAACTTTTCTCGTTTCGATCACTCCTGTTTTTCTTTTTTTCCCCCCCTATTGTTTCGTTGCAACGTGTTTTTCAATTCTGACGAATCGCTCGTAACTTGAGGGGAGTCGTATCGCTGTCGTTTCGTCATGGTCGTCATTATGTATCGTGGTTGAGTGTTCCGCGCACCGTGTCGGTTTTTATTTCATTAATCTAAACGTGGGAGATGTGCACGTCGCGTCGCACACGTGAAGCACTTCGCACGACTAGTCAAGTTCGAGGTTAACCACATACTTCGATGCCTCGTTCTTTTCTTTCCTTTTCTAATCTCTTGCTACCGTTTTTCCTTTTTCCCCGTCTGCCCCTCGATCGCCATACGATTAACGATTCTTGATCTTTATCGATTTCTGTCGTTGAAATAAACTGTCGGTTAAAATGGAGTGTAATCGGAAAAAGCTTTTGACCAACTCGGCATTAATGCGAGCTGTGGTCTAATAAAATCTGCATCCCGTGTTCGACTCGAGTGCCTTTCTCCATTATTCGTTTGTTGAGAGGTTAGACGGCGAGCCCCACTCGAAATTAAAATCGAGCGAATGATATCGGTATCGAAAATCGTCACGTTGCAATGATAAGGTATCTGTCTATCTTGTGAGAGAGAGAAAGAAAGAACGAAAGAGAGGGAAAGAGAGAGAGAGAGAGAGAGAGAGAGAGAGAGAGAGAGAGAGAGAGAGAGAGAGAGAGAGAGAGAGAGAGAGAGAGAGAGAGAGAGAGAGAGAGAGAGAGAGAGAGAGAGAGAGAGAGAGAGAGAGAGAGAGAGAGAGAGAGAGAGAGAGAGAGAGAGAGAGAGAGAGAGAGAGAGAGAGAGAGAGAGAGAGAGAGAGAGAGAGAGAGAGAGAGAGAGAGAGAGAGAGAGAGAGAGAGAGAGAGAGAGAGAGAGAGAGAGAGAGAGAGAGAGAGAGAGAGAGAGAGAGAGAGAGAGAGAGAGAGAGAGAGAGAGAGAGAGAGAGAGAGAGAGAGAGAGAGAGAGAGAGAGAGAGAGAGAGAGAGAGAGAGAGAGAGAGAGAGAGAGAGAGAGAGAGAGATCGTGGCTGGATAGCGTATAAATCTCCAGACGTGCGTCCCAAGCTCTCGCAAACGATCGTAACTGCATCTCGCAGAAAAGTCAAGTTCAAGGCTAACCAGATACTCTGCGCTCCTTCCTTTGCCCCTCGACCCCCTTTCTGCGTGCATTTAATATACGATACCGAGGGCAGGAGGGCGGAAGAGGAGCAGCAGGCTTACGCAATCCTTTCACCGTTACTTTGTTCACTATCGTTCTACCCTACTGTTTCTTTAAGGATACCTTTCTTCTCATTAAGTTATTCATACGATTCATTTTACCCTTTTTCATAAATTATCCGATTACGTCGATAGAACAACGATTTCTAGTTCTCGTACCGTTACCAGATCATCGAAAGATGCAGGATGCAGATAAACAGAAAGTATAAGCTCGCCGTGTACTTATAAGATTACATTAAGAAATAAAGGAGTTGATATTCCGAGAACATCGATGCTACGTATCGCGAATTTTCTGAAGTCAATTCTAAAAATGCTTGAGGCGTTGGTCGCGCTTAAAAATAGCAACAGAAAAAAAGTGCAGCCGACTGCAGAGCAGGCTGTCTCTTCTGCTTTTCGGCATTTGCTACGGTTTGCTTAAAAGCGAACGCCCATCGGTCTGTGTTATAGGGGACAAATAGGAGAGGAGGATACGTGCGAAATTGTAAAATGTTCTGTTGATTGCTTTAGGTTTGCATGATGCCCGGTGGCGGCACCGAAAATATGATTGGAAATAATAGGACCATGGCAAACATTAAACAAGAAATTGAGAATCCTACGACGCCTACGCAAAACTATCAAGTTTGTTCACCGACCACTACGCTTCAACATCAAGAGGTATTTCGGACATGTAGTTTTTACGGTCGAAAACATTGTGATTCGTGAGACTGATCGAAAATGTAAAATAACTTGAGATAGACGGTATGCAGTTCTGCAAAATGGTCGATGTTGAGTAACTTTTTTAATATTTTAGGTGATTTGTAGCAAAATAGAAGTACCAGCCGATTATGGAGGAGGCGAAGGTAGTCCTGGTAGTCCGGAAATGCACCATTGTTCGTCAACCACGCAGCCTTTAGGAACACCAGAGGTACATACACTATACCGACCTAACTATAGCAAAAGTCCTTGCATTTTTTCTTTCTTTGGAAGCTCTTTTGTAATCTCTGAGTTAGACTCAGCATGTCGTTTTATTTAGGAAGGTGTTAAAGAAGAAGACATGATGCCTAGGAGGCTTTGCCTAGTGTGCGGGGACGTAGCGAGTGGATTTCATTATGGGGTAGCGTCTTGCGAAGCATGTAAAGCTTTCTTTAAAAGAACCATACAAGGTAAGAAGAGTTCCTTCACGATTACAGATATCTCCTTCTGAAGAATTTTCCAGGTAGCACCACAGAGGATTATAATTATAGTTTCAGTGATACAATTTTTTTTGTTTCCCTACTATCTGTAGACATCGAAGTATTTTAATTACCTGTATGCATATCTGTTACTATTCTAAAACGCATATATTCATAAAACTGATATTGGTGCTACCTGGATGAGAACCATGTATATTACAATAAAATAGCGAGTAATTTCACAGGCAATATCGAATACACGTGTCCGGCGAACGGCGAATGCGAAATAAACAAGCGCAGGAGAAAAGCGTGCCAGGCGTGTAGGTTTCAAAAGTGTCTTAGACAAGGCATGTTGAAGGAAGGAGTGAGACTGGATCGTGTCCGAGGAGGGAGACAAAAATATAGAAGATCCACCGATCCTTATACGCCGGTGAAGACAGCTCCGTTGGAAGGTGATTTTTTCATAATTCTTGCTGATATAAATATCATGTTTCGATCGCAATCGTATCAATATAGAACACGCACAACTCCACATCTCGCAAATACGATTAAATCTTTGATTTTATTCTTTTTAGCAAACATAGCAACAGCAGCTTCTAACGAAATAATAAGTAAGCTATCGGGTCCTTTCTCTTTATTTATTCGAGTCCGATACTTTGATTCGTTGGTAGATTTTTTTCATCCTGATATGAAATCATCTTACATGTAAACATAAATATTTAATGTGTGAATGTTTAAATGATAAATTTTCTAATTTATTGGTAGATAATAAGATGCTAGAAGCTTTGGCTGCTTGCGAACCTGACATGCTACAAGTGTCCAATATCTCTCATACTCTTGACACAGATCAAAGAGTACTTGGACAATTATCTGACTTGTACGATCGGGAACTGGTCGGAATAATTGGTAATAATATAATGTCAATTTTTCTATTAGTATGATCAATAATTGAGAATTCTCTGCTCAAAGGTTGGGCAAAGCAGATTCCTGGATTCAGTAGTTTAGCACTAAACGATCAAATGCGACTTCTGCAAAGTACGTGGGCAGAGATATTGACGTTTAGTCTCGCATGGAGGAGCATGCCAAATAATGGTAGATTAAGGTTTGCACAAGATTTTACCCTTGACGAACGACTTGCACGCGAATGCCATTGTACAGAGCTGTACACGCACGTGAGTATCGCTTAATTATTTCGATGATTTCGATTCATCGTGTACTTTGTTATCTTCTACATGTATATACGTCTATATATATATTATTTGTTTTTCAACAGTGTATCCAAATCGTAGAAAGGCTTCAAAGATTGGGTTTAACGAGAGAAGAATATTACGTCTTGAAAGCATTGATATTAGCAAACAGTGATGCGAGGTCAGATGAGCCACAAGCGCTATATCGTTTTCGAGATTCTATCCTGAATTCCCTATCAGACTGTATGGCGACAGTAAGACCAGGACAAGCGCTTCGTGCCACTCAAAATATGTTCCTAGTGTTGCCCAGTCTCAGGCAGGTTGATGGAATTGTTAGAAGATTTTGGTCTAGTGTTTATCGAACGGGAAAAGTACCAATGAACAAGCTCTTCGTAGAAATGTTAGAAGCTGCTTATTATCGATGAAATATCAACTCAAACTCAAAAATATCTGTATCAAGGACTTCATGGAATCGCTGTTATTCGATGGTAGCAGCGTTATAGTTATAACACGTCATGAGTGAGTAGGGTACGTCCCTAGAAGTATAAACGAAAGATGGTGAGTGATAGTGAAAAACGAGAAGAAACGGAGATGTGCAGTTTTATTTGTTTTCTGTAAGAGAAAGACTCGTAAGAAAGAAAAGGCTTTATTTTTCAAACGTGAAAAGTATTGGAGCGCAGAGCTTTGGCCAGTGATTCCACCGGTCATCAAAATTCGCGAAACACATTAAGATGTCAGGTACATTGTTTCGTCGAAATAACCAAACTTTCCTTTTCGAGTACCCCTTTTACAGGTACAAAGAAAAAAAAACAATGTTATTTCAGGATAGCATACGTAGTACAAGATACGAGATGCTTTTCCGGAGCTCTCATTTTAGGATAGTTTACGAAAACCTGTCGCCAGACAGAAGAACCTACCAAATAACTAAAACGTTTTCATTTACGTAAGATCGTGACATGATCGCCGAACCGGTGATATCGTAGAGATGAAATGCAAATGTACTAACTGTGGGTGTTTGACGTTATAGAGTTAGCATCGTGTTACCAAATACTACCAACTCAATCAAAATTACATGTAGCTCCGATTCGAATCTTATTTTAGTTATGTCTTTTCTCTGAAAAAATCCAGTCAATTTGAAATTAGAGGAACGCGAAGCGTGTATGTTTAAGAGCGTTGAAATAAAATGATATATGCCATTTTATATAGAATAATTGCACATTTTAATACCATTAAGTGTAAAGATCGATAAATGTAAATCGATGTGTGTACTGCATTGAACATCCATAGTTATAGTTCAGCGAATGAATTTAGTATGCGCTGTTGTACAAATTGAACCAATTACGTGAACAGAGCTGTGAACAGTGAACAAGGAAAGCGAAAGAATGGCTGGATCGTTCTCTAATTAGCGTCACGCTGTTTTTTACGAGGTACTGTGAAAAAGATGTTTCGAGAACGAACCTTTGGCCAGGTTGCCAGGTTCTAAGGAAAGCAGAAAAAATTTAACCGATTGTTGAAATGATTGCGAAATGTTATTCGCGCGTGCCACACAGAGAGCGTAGGAGAATATATATTATATTATTATATTATATTATATTGTATGTATTCAGGGATCTTTATTATCTAAATAGTTATTATTGTTACGAGATCTGTGCACAGATCTTGCGCATAATATCGCTTTTTTCGAAGCGAGGAATCGTAATATCGTATAGGAGCTACTACTCACACATAAAACTCATTTCTAAAGGAGGAAAAACCGTTTATAACAAATTAATGGAGTCTTTTCTTTGTCGGCTACACGCAACGAAACACGAAGTTTCTATCGACTTTCGAATCAGCTTTTTGTTATTTCGCGATTATTCGATATTATCGAGAGAAGGGAATTGTTTAATGAAAAGTTATAAATAAATATTAGGGTAAATTATACGTTATAGCAGATCGAGTCGCTGGAAACTTTTTAGTGTTGAAGTGCGGTGTAATCTTGTGACGTTCAGAGTGCAATAATATCAGGACATGCGATTACATTTTTCTACTGGTCAATCGATCGCGACGCGTTTGAGTTTTCTTTATTTGTATATTTCGTCTCTGTTCTTCTACCGTTTGAAACTTTGTTTAAACCTCCTGCATTTAAATACACGATGCAAATAGTTGGCAGCAACGCTTACATATTGCGTGTCCTTCCTCCATTAGTTTTTCTTAATTACCTATTACGGTTCATTCCTCACTACGAAACAGATAATGCAACGAATGCGATGGGGAAAAAAAGAAAGAAGAAAATCGCTGCTAAGCCACGGCGAATTTTTGCCCTGCTTTTTTTTCGGTTTTCTTTATTACATGTTCTTCCCTTTTTTTTTTAACGATGTAGGTTTTTCTGTCTCTTTCTTTCTTTCTTTCTTTTAATTTATAAATTACAATAAAAGAAATCACGTTATTTGTTATACTGCCTTCGTGGTCGTAAATTTTGCAAGAGGATCAAACATTGATCGATTATTGGTTAATAATTTGGGCCGGATGTTCTGACATGTGTTGGAAATGGTTTGTCAAACTACTTGTCGTAGTTTATGCAAATATTCGTCAGGGAATCAATAGTCGACGTTTTAATGGCATTTGTCGTGTGTTGATAGCATCGAACGTTGTCCATTTCAAAGAAAGTTGTCTAATACCAATGTTTGGTTCCAGATAATAATAGTATCTATATATACCGTCCATAATAGGGGGTATTAGAGTCATATATCAGTAAAGTCGATTAGGTTTCGTGATTTAAACATATTTCAGTTCCATTCCTGTTAAATGTGCTAATATTTTGTTTTTCAATCACGCTGTCCATAGGTTTTTTTTTATATACCGCGTACTTGCGTCTTACTTTATGTTTCGATACAAACGTAGAATTTTCACGTGCCATCAATTCATGATCCATTTCTTAAGTCTTTTTTTAATATGTCACGTTTCTTCCAAGAGACACAAACATTCAAGTGGATGAATTTCCAAAAATCTTAAAGTTGTCTTGGCAGATTCATTTAGCTCTTTGGTTTCTAAGATTCTATCGCAGTTAATACGATGATCGAAATACTTTTGAATTTATAAATAGTTAAGGAGAAGCGTAATCCATCGTAATGAATCATGATCAGCTTGATATTTAAAGATATCGACTATCAAACGATTTGATTGATCCTGCGGCGTGTGTTTTGCCGTTGTTTTATACACAGTGGATTTTACAGGTATTTTCTCTCTGTCATGTTTATGGATTCGCCGTGGCGGTAGAATCATAGTCTCAGGGTTTCAACCAACAACCAACAAATAGAAAAAATGATACAAATTTAGAGACGTATAAATAATTAAGCGCGCGAGTATATTTGTGGAGCAACATATTATGTATAATAGTAACGATAGTAATAACATCCAGGATGATAATGATAATGATAACGATAAAGAATATTAACATTAGTATTAATGGTGATAACAATGATGATGATAATAAAGATAAGAATGACAAGAAACACTATACGGTGACTTGTTGCATTGTAAATCGAGATTTGCGTATTTGCTTTGCATACTGGTGCATGCACTGCGAAAGAAATATAATTTTAACGTCACTATTTCTTAATGAACTTCTTTACTGTGGCCAGGAGAAAACTTGTACATATATGGCTTATCCGTATCGTAAGAATTTACACCAACAAATTCAACCACATCCTCTCTGTATTTTTCTTACACTGTATGATTGCACAACTTGAAAACAGCTCCCGCTTGTCTCGCGAAACGTGCGTGCGCCAAGAAAGATGACAAATGGATCCGTGGACTTGAATTGTTTCATATATCATAGCGTGCACTGTTTACAGTGTAGATTTGTTTCTTCTTCGAAAGTACAATATAAAATGGTTCGAAAATCCTTCTTTCCTCGTCCGTTCGTCGGGCGAACTTGCCAGACCAGTCATAAATTGTACCTGCTGCGAAGAAACGCTGCTTCTGCGACTTTTATGAATATGTGTACAGATATATATATATACCTGTAATTATAATTTTTATATATTGAAAGGAAACATATGCGTAAGCATTAGTAAATCGATCGAAAATAAAGTAGGAACCAACTCGATTTTTATTTTTGAAATTTTGATTGTACGGGCTCCTGTTTGAACTGTCGCGTGTTGAACAAATTCGCAAACATCCACGTACAGAATGTGCCGATTCCAACGAAATAGAATATACGTGGCCTCAGTTAGCGCAGCAATCATGTCGCAAGTGGCAGTTCCGCGTGTGTTTCTCTATTTATTAGCCGCTTTCCTTGCCACTTTTTCCAGTAAGTGTTATTTTCTTTGATATATATATATATATATATATATATATATATATATATATATATATATATATATATATATATATATATATATATATATATATATATATATATATATATATATATATATATATATATATATATATATATATATATATATATATATATATATATATATATATATATATATATATATATATATATATATATATATATATATATATATATATATATATATATATATATATATATATATATATATATATATATATATATATATATATATATATATATATATATATATATATATATATATATATATATATATATATATATATATATATATATATATATATATATATATATATATATATATATATATATATATATATATATATATATATATATATATATATATATATATATATATATATATATATATATATATATATATATATATATATATATATATATATATATATATATATATATATATATATATATATATATATATATATATATATATATATATATATATATATATATATATATATATACATACATATATGTATGCGTATTTTATATATATATATATATATATATATACACGCAACTTTAATATATATGTATATATGTATATGTTGATGCGTAGCGAATTGATGCAAAGCAAAATTGAAAAAGAGCATTTCCCCACAGAAGCAAGTTCATACGTGCCGCCGGATGATTGTTTGAAATTCGATGTCGGTGATATTGAGGATTACTTGTCGAATCTCAATTTCGAGAATGTGCCGACGATCAATATGATGATCGGCGGGTTCAAATGCCCGGTCACAGCTTTGCCCTTCGGTGCTTTGAAATCAGACTGGGCAAGGCTGTTGCTTCTGCAAAGAGCGCAACCGAAGGAATCAATTCTCTTAAAGAAACTGGATCGTCTTATGAGAATTTTAGTGATCGCTTATTTCCGAATGGAAGAACGTTTCGATGTTATGCAATCTGGATTTTGGAATATAAGCAGGTTGGTAACAAAAACTCTAACTATCAACGATAAAGACTTCTTTACAAGCTTGATCTTTGTATCTCATTCGATCGAATATTTTGATAGTCCATCCGCGACGTCTGTACACGAAAGCACCACGAGCACTAATTCGAAGGAGGAAACGAAGAAACTCGATAACTCGATCGCTAATTCAAGAAAAATAAATAAAACCTCAGCGAATTTTGCTATGAGTACTTTTCTTAACAACGATGAATCCAGTAGCACGATTGAAATTGAACGAATCGCACTTACTAGTTCGAATGTGACGAGCGAAGACAAAACCGGCGATTTTCATACAATGCATAATATTCCTTTAAAGCATCGCTCGATAAGCGAGCAAATCGACGAAAAAAGGACGGTAACCGCTTTCGTAAATATTACAAATTTTTCAGAAAGAACCACCGACAAACGGAAATACACAGAGATATCGACTTTGAGCGCGAATGAATCCGTTACGATTAACACCGCGAATAATTTCACTGGAAATAAAAATGGCACGAATATTTTTACGAGAGACGATTCTGACGCTGATAAAAATATTAATTTCTCAACAACAGAATTTAGCAAAGAAACTAAACCAATTATAACTGGCTCGAACGCTGTTACTGCTCGTATTTCGGAAACGATGACTTCTTCTAGTTATAGAGTTATAGAGGGTAGTAACCCTACTATATTTAGCGTCACGCAGACTAATGGTGTGAAAAAGCATGGTACTCAGAACGATTATAAAGTCACCGTTTATTCAGATAAAATTTCTACTAACCCGACCGAAAGATTTAATCAAAGTCGTCCGAATAATCGGGCTGGCAGTGTATTCCAAGTCTTTGAGAAGGTTCCATGGAATTCCACGAATTCTACTGTTTCCTCTAATAAGATCAAGGAACCTTCGATCTACAAAAATACTCCGTTTGGCAATAAGTTTTGGAAATACATGACAATTTCACCAAAAGTTTCTTCCACTACGGTTACTGCAGATCCGACGTTAATGTCGCAGACGAAAGGAACGGAAAGATATAAAGGAAATTTGATAAAATCTAAAAAACGCGGAAGCTCGAACACCGATATTGAAAAAATGTTTAGGTGGTTTTATACTTTCGGTCATTCCAGGTACATATTTATGTTTCTCCTACATCACACGCTCGTTTCCTAATTACCTTTCGTTTATTTGCCAACGTTTTGTCATAATTACAGTAAAAACGATTCGGTTGATCGAGGCGTCTACATCGCATGCGAAGGAAAGAGTCACAACGGCAAAGAGTAATCTCGCCAAACGATATTTTTCATCTGCGAGGTATTAGAATAAATTTGCATACACGTATCTTTTAAAAGGCAAAAGTTTGGGTCGTTTTGAATCGACGATAATAAAATTGTTTGACTTTCACGTGGTTGGATATTGCTTCTTGATTTGTCTGATTATACGGTATTTGTAGATGGTATAAGAAATGTACGTTGCGACAACTGGACACTTGCCGATTCTTATCAGCGATATTGCGGGCCAGTCCATAAATTCATGAGGCGGGGCAACGCTGACTGATATTTACGAGGTCCGCAGCTGGTAACGTTCGTCATGCTTTACGAGCTGTCGTAAACGAATCCTCTTATTATTCAGTTCTCTGTCCATAGGATTTTTCGGATTGTCTGCAAGCAGTTGGATTGTCCGCTTGATTGGTTCGATGCAATTTACGCAGGCAACGATAGCTTGAACGACATCGTGTTTCGGATGTGATTACCATCCAGTTGAAATTACACGCGAAATCGTGGGAAAAAAGATACGGGATCAGTGTTGCGCTGTTCAAAATGTTCTCGTTATCCGCAGGAAAGGGAATGAAAACGGTTGCGATGAGTACATAATTGGCTTTACGCAAACTATCGTGACTCGATGGTTTAATAACGGTTTTTCGAGATAGCACACCCGATCAGTTTAATTTGCAACGATAGCATATCAGCGGGTTGCGGTTAATAACCAGTCGAAGGTACGCGAACAAATAGGTGTGTTCAATCAGCACGTCGTGTCGTTCCGAATTATTCCGCGATATTTTTGTTAAAATATCCGTTCGTTCGTTTCGTTTGTCGATTTACGGTCCGCGATAGTGTGTGTACACGTTTTGTGCAAATGCGCACGTGTATTCAAAACATATGGAGAATCATCGAGTCGAATAACTTTATCGCTTATATTAATTACATTATACAAGCTAAATTTTCAGTAAATATGCTTAAAATTTAGATTTACAGGGTGGTTATCAATTTGTAAATCCGAATTATCTCCTCGGTAGAGAATATACGCGATTTATGACTCTTTATTTCCTCGCAAGGGTATCCTATCTATTTTAAATATTCCAGATGTTAATTCTTCTCTCTTTTCTATTTTCTGATATATTTCTAATATAAATTCGTAGCGTGGTATAATATGTTCCCGTCGTGTTCGCTTTGCAAGCCTTGCTAAATTAAATATGTGCCGGTATTGTACAGATTAATCGTTAATAGAGTAATCGGTAAGTTAGCCTTCTATCTGTTATTCATTCTGTTGCCGTTGACTTCCTCGTGATCGAGCTAGCGTTTTAATTCGAGAACATTATTATCGTTGGTAGGTTCGTCTGGTGCATCTTCTTTACAAGAATTAGCATCAGAGCGAGCTATATTTATTAGAGTCAATAATTTAGCCCGTTGTGAAACGGATTAGAGCGGTATATCGTTCCTTCTAAGGAAACAAATTGCCTTGCCTTGGCGAGATGCTAGTTGAACAGAGCATTCCTGGTTTCCCTTTGCACCTGCTTTTCCCTATTTCTCACGTCCACGCCGACAAACAGTCGCGCTTTGACGCGACTCGTTGGTAATTGCGTTAACAGTTGCAACCAAACCGCTTGGAAATTCAAGGTTTCTCGTTGAATGCAAAATATTGTTTGACAGCATTAGACTGATCGACACGCTTCATAAATTGCGACGTTTGTTTCGTTTTTCTCGAGAACCGGGCCAATTAAGCTGAGAAATCGTTCACGGAAGAGGTGTGTCGTGGGTGGGGAATTGATAAATAAAGGTGATCAATCGTGAGCAAATGTTCAACTCTGGCGAAACAAATTTGCTCATTACTTATCATTTCTTCGCGATTACTCGCCGGTCGGATTAGCCGTACATTGTTCTTCGGGAGGGAAACAAATTAGTCGCTTCACAGGAACGCGACTTCGAGAGGTTCTCTGGCCGGGTTCGTTCCTACGGTCTTCGTGTCTAGAATACGGTAATGCCGGTGTACGTTCGCTTGTTCAAACTGTTCGTCAGGGTTACTTTAGCTTCTTGAGCAGCATCGAGAGTAGCAACGATGAACTAGCGGCCAGAGCAACGTTGAGGCTAGTATCTACCACCGACAGAAAGTTCACGGAAATCATTTAACCGAGGAAGAGTAGCGCGATCACAGGAAAAGAGGAGGAGTGCAGAGCATCGGTGTATGATGGTGGTGGTGCCGCTGGAGGCTGAGGCGAGGGTGAAGAAACGCTCGGTAATTATTTTACCGACGGAAGCGAAGGGATGAGAGAATGCAACTTGCACCCTTCCTCTTTTCACTCCACCTCCGTTTCTAGCGGCTTGATGTTAATTCATACTAATTGGTTGCATTACTCTCGTTTCATTCACCCGCCGTGGTTGTTTCCTTTCCTTTCGATGAGAGCCGCCCATCCTTGTTTTTGTTGCTCGACGTCCTGCCATGCTTTTTATTAATTAGTCGCCAATTAATTTCAAATATTTCCTATAATTTAACCGTAATTCTTGCATTCTCGTGAATACTTTCGATTGTTTAGTTTCTCGTTGTCGACTTCCGATAACGTCCCGAACGAGGAAACTCGATTTACTAAACATCAGCGATACCTCAATTGCGAAGAATTTGTCTCGTCGTGAAACGTCTGATATTTGAATAAAAGTTTATCTAATTTTCATTAGTTAAACGAATTAAAGAAGCGATAATACAGTCTTTGTGATACACATAACAATACCGTGTAACTCGTTCGGCCGTTGCAGATACAGCGGAAAAGCTTGAATTATAGAGAAATAAAATAACGGCTTAACCCACACCGAAACAGGAGAAGAAGGACGGAGCGTTATAAATAGGCGGGTGGCTCTTTGTTCTCGGCAACATGTTCCGCAACGATAAAAATTTCCCGCGAAACCAAAAGATCTCATGGACCACGTGTAGCTATTTTTATGTCACTTGGCCAATTTGTGGGTCGCACGCGTTTCTTAGATATCTTTGGTTATCCATGTTTCAAAAAATATGGAATGCCGTCTTAAGAGGAAGTTGGCTGAAAAATTCCAAGAAATCGATGGACCAGTCGTAATCTGCAGCAGGAGCTGGCTCGCGAAAGTAGGAATCTATAGGTGGCGAAGGAAGAGCGAAGATGCGTGAGAAAGCGTCGGATTGTTGGACACCCCTTGCGAGGGTGTAATCATCTTTGCTCAGTCTCGTCCGTGAAAATCCATTCTCGTCACGTCGAGACAAACGGGCTCAGTTGACTCTCCATCTAAATCTCCTTCTTCCTTTCGTTCTCCGGATCTCCTTCTTCCTTTACTCGCACGGATAAGAAATGAAATTAAAATTCTCCAGGAGACTGAAACGTCACGTTCCTCGTCGTCCGTCTCATCTCATCCCTCGTTTCGTGGAAGGGAGCACCGCGTCCGTTCGCCTCCAGGTATCCGGAAGATAAAGGAAACGAGAGATCGAGTCTGCTTCGTGGGATCTCGCAGATCGTTCGATTCGGATGAGCTGGGGGCTGCCGATGGATCTGCAACTTTCCACGGAAAAGAACGAATCCCAAAGAGTTGGGCTAACCTAAAACTTGGAATAAAGGGTCTGATCCTCTCCTAGGAATGCATAGAGATGCGTACGAGAGTCGATGTGAAATATTTGTTTTCCAAATAGAGGTCGAAGAAATAGTATTTTGATATCGCTACCGTTCGAGCTTCTTCAGATACGTGCTTTCTGTGCAAAGGGACACTGGGACGTTCCGTATCTTTGCTTTGAAAATTTATGGAATTTACTTTTCATAGAAGAACCTTGCGCGCGAACCAAGACAGCCTTCTTGTCCATCGAAGACGGTCTAGTCGATCTCGTTAAGTGAAAGAAAGGACGAGGTACGGTTTGTGGGTAGGTCGGAGTGGAAAGCGTGGCTGGTTAATTGGAATCGCCTGCAAACTTGGCGACTTCTCAGCCTCGAAAGCATCGATGAAATTGCAGCACCCGTCAAGCTTCGGCCGGTTTCCTCTTCAGTTTCGAGATCGTTTCTACCTTCTCTTTGCTCGTCGCCTTTCATCCAGCGACAGTGGGATGCGACTCAATCTCGCTGCCAGCTTTCGTCCCAAACACACTGTCGTCTTCGACGGAACACGGTGGATCCCTTTGACTCTTAAAGACGGTGTGACGTGTAAGTAATTGTTACTTCATCGCTAGGTTGATTATAGCAATTTTCCTAGCTCCTTGGCTCGCTCCTACTTTTCTCTTCCTCTTCTCATTTACTTCATTACCTTCTTTGTCTGTTCGTCGCGTAACTTTATCGCGGAAATTAGTTTCGCTTCTTGCGCATATATGGCGCATCATCGATGCGACAATCGTTACGTCCACATATACATTTTCTTTCAACTTTGATTGTTTCACACCTCGGGTTACAAAATCGTCAGGTCGCCGCCACTCATGGTACGCAGCCGAGAGAACGCCTGACAATTAATTATTCTCTTCTACTTTTTCCTCCGCAAAGAGGAACAAAGGAAGAATATGTAGGCGTGAGTTTCCAGGAAGTTCGCGCAAAACAAGTGGAAATCTTTTTCAGCGATGGTCACCTTCAATTCTCGCTAGTTTTTTTCAGACAGCTTTCTCGCCGCGAGACGAGCTTTTCTCTCGTTCGTAAGTTACGCTTTCCTTTCTTCGTCGTGCCAAAACTCGTCCGGCTCGTTAATACTTTCGCGGTGATCTCCGAGTATAAATTTCACCGTGGTATTTTCCATCGTATATCGTAAAAAGAGTGGTTTTTCACGAACGAAAACTGTTCTATTTCTTACCAAACTACCGCGCGATCGTTAATTTCTTTGTCGCGGATGGATCAAACGACGAGCGAAATTTTGTCGAAATTTCCATTCGACCGGAAGAAAAATGGGAAAGTGGGTGTGTCTTATGGAACGTTCGGGCATTCGTCCTTGAATTATGTAATATTTCATCCGGGGAATTAATTCAGCGTCTTTTGTTCAGGAAACAAGGAGGGAACTAACGAGCTGCGTATTGTCCGAGATTTCATATCAAACCGATATTTCTGCACGATTCAACGACAAGGCGTTTGTCGAACGACGAAGACGTAATTACGAAAGCAGAGCGTCGAACGATCTTGGCGGTCGGAGGAAGCGGAACGC